CACACACACACACACACACACACACACTCAGACACAGAGTTTCCCCTATCCTTAACATCTTGACATTTGCATTAGTGTGGTCCATCTATTAACAATCGATGAGCCAATATTGATACATTATTAACTAAATTCCATAGTTGACATTAGGGTACACTCTTTATGTTGTGTTTTATGGGTTTTGACAAATGTATAATGACGTCTATCTACCATTACAGTATCATACAGAATAGTTTCACTGCCCTGAAAGTCCCCAATGCTCTACCTATTCATTCCTCCCTCCCTCTCCCCAGACCCCTAGCTCTAAGATCACTTTTGATAAGTTTTTTTCACATCTACTAACTGTTCAACAGCAAAGACTTGAAGAGACAGTGATGGCTGGAAATAAGGTAACAGCTGGAAATGCCCAGTAAAACAGCAAAGCATTGTTCAATTGCTGGTCATTTTTACTAGGACTTTGTCTTCTAGTTTTCAGGGGTGCCCTGCAGGTTGGGGGCTTCATAAGAGTGGGCCTAGTCCCATCTCTCAGCTCCACCACAGTTAGTCAAGTTCAAGGGCACACACATGGTCCACGTTAGTCAGCTGAGTGAATGAGAAATATGCTTTTCACACTATACAGTGCTGTACCAACTTGAGGCCTGGTTATTGAATCAAGAACCAGTTGAAGAAAAACATCCAGAAGAGGATGTGAGAGAGATGATAGAATTAGAGAGATTAAGGGGTGAGGGAGGAGAGTGGGGAGGGGTGTTGGACAGGGACAAGACACAAACAGTGTGAGACAGACCACCAGCTCTATTTTGGGGGGTCCAAGGACCTCTCTGATTCCCCTCCCAAAGGTTCTTTATTTCACACACACACCCCTCAAATTGTAACACATAAGACTTCCATAAGCCTTTCCTGCAGAGAGGGGCCCAGATTCTAAAAAGACACAGATGATTTGTATAGAATAGTAAAAGTAACACATCTAAAATCACAGCCTGTCATTGACTACCTTCCTCCCACCACCCAAAAGATCCTCCAACACGGATCTCCAAAGAGAGAGAGGCAGCAAGGAGAGAGCATGTCAGAGTTCTAGAGGCATAGACGTGAAGGATGGATGAGAAGGGGCAAAACAGGGCCTTTGTGTGGAGAGTGACAGAGGTCCACTAAGATTCATTAGCAAGCATGTGTTGACACCTCCTGTGGTGGTGGGACATTATTAGGGATATGCTGGAGAACAAGATGGACCTTGTCCCAGTCCTCAAGAGTCCATGGTCCAGCGGGGGAGATAGAAAATGGACATAATACTACAGTGAGAAATGCCATGTTAGAGTTTAGGGAAAGGGAGGGGCAGCACAATGAATGACAGAGAAGTGAGGCAGCAGTAGGAGGCGAAGCATTTTAGAGCTTTAGAGACTGGCTTCTACTCTGATTCAGCTCTTTGCTCACTGTGTGCTCTGAGCAAGTAATATCACTGCTAAGTTCACTTAGGGGACCCCTTGTAAACAGCACTCACTTGAAACCTACAACAGCTTCTGAATAAATTGGCTATTATTATGAAAAAAAAACAGTTTAATTTGAGAGCTAAGCAAAAGTCAGCCAAATGGGGCTATGGAAAAGGGGGCTGCAGCTCTGGGCCATTCCCTCCCCGCAACCTGGTAGGCTCCATCCCTGCCCTCTCTCCCTCCAAGCTCTTGACTTTCTCATGCTGATGCCATGGGTATGGGTGACTAGGTCGAGTGTAATTCAATCCAACTTTTTCTGGATCTGCTTGGCTGTGATATGAAAGCCCAAAGATGAATCCTTCTCCCAATAGACAATGACACAAATGCATGGGGTCAGCCTCTGTCTAGCCCAGTGACTCTCCATGTCCCTCCTGTGAGCTCCCAGAGCTCTCTGTGTATTCCTCAACTTCACCCCTTATCACACCATGTGACAATTATCTGTTTAGACCTCTGAGTTTCCCTCTAGACTGTGAGCTCTCAGATGCCAGGGCATTTACCATATTTATCTCTTTGCCCCAGTGCCTGGTAGAAAGGGAGTCCTCCATAAATGTCTGTGGAGTGAGAATGAATGTTTGGAGACAATTAAAATACAAAGCAGAAAGTAAAAACGGTTCTAACAGATGTAGGGGGAACATGCATGGGTCAGAGGAAAGGGAGATTAGCTCAAATAAGGTGCCCAGAAAGGCCTTCCAGAAGACGGGGCAGTCAGTCTGAGTCTTTAAAGACAACAGTGAATAGGAATTCATCAGATACAGAAAACAAGTTTGTACTGGGAGATATTAGTTGGGTGGTATTCATGGGGAGGGGGTGGTGACAGAGCATTTTAAGTTGAGAAACCAACATAAGCAAGAGAAGGAGACATGAGTGCATGTGATGCCTCCTAGAAACTGAGTCATCCAGTGGCTTAAGTGGGTGCATTGCAGGAAGAAGGTGGGGGAAGGAAGAGGGCAGTTCTGGGAGAATCTGGATGCCATGCTAAAGGATTGCAAACAGTTGAGAGTAGGTGAAGGTTTTTGTTTGTTTGGTTGGTTATCATTTTTTAAGACAATAAAGACATGATCAGACCTGTGTTTCAAATGGTAGTGAATGTGTGGTCAGCCGTGTAATATACTACTGAGAGGTCGAGCAGAATAGGTTGGGGGAACAAGGCACTGGATTGTAATAGATTGAGGAGTGAATGAAAAGATGCAAATAATCTTTTCAAGAAGTTTGGCAAAGAGAAGGAAGGATTGGGAATAAAGCTTGAGACGAGACATACTTTCTAAAGGAAGGGTCATTAGGCCACTTGAACCAGACTTCCAGGGGTTAGAAGGGTGAAGGATTCAAGTTCACCATTTCCTGAGTGGGTCCTGGGGGTGGGGGAGACTTGAGAAGCAGAAGATCTGGCTGGATAGTGGGGATGGATGATAAGAGAGATGGAGAGCCTGGCTGAGTAGGGGCCAGACCCCCTACTGCCACCTTTCCTTTTTCCTACCCAGAATTGGAGCTGGCCATTAGAGTCACCCTCTATGCCGTGATCTTTCTGATGAGTGTTGGAGGAAATGTGCTTATCATCGTGGTTCTGGGACTGAGCCGTCGCCTGCGGACCGTCACCAACGCCTTCTTGCTCTCACTGGCAGTCAGCGACCTCCTGCTGGCGGTGGCTTGCATGCCCTTTACCCTCCTGCCCAATCTCATGGGCACATTTATCTTTGGCACAGTCGTCTGCAAGGCGGTTTCCTACTTCATGGGTAGGTGACACAACAAATCTGCCTTCCTTGCCCGTCTCCTGTCCTAAAGTCCTTGCCAGGTGTACGGGACTTTCTCCATCGGAGATGGGGAGGTCACACTGGTGAGTGTGCAGTGCAAGTTTCCTAGGTGACCCCTTCCTTTTCCTTTGCTAGGGGTGTCTGTGAGTGTGTCCACGCTAAGCCTCGTGGCCATAGCCCTGGAGCGGTACAGCGCCATCTGCCGACCACTGCAGGCGCGGGTGTGGCAGACACGCTCCCACGCAGCTCGTGTGATCGTAGCCACGTGGATGCTGTCCGGACTGCTCATGGTGCCCTACCCGGTGTACACTGCCGTGCAGCCAGCAGGGCCTCGTGTGCTGCAGTGCATGCATCGCTGGCCCAGTGCACGGGTTCGCCAAACCTGGTGAGGGTGACTATTACCCATTCCATTCCTGGGAATTCCCTTCTCAAGAATCTTCCTCCAACTGCTCTATCAATTACCATTCCAATTCTCTTTCGGCACCCACTACCCTGGGATTTCCATTTGGGGCTCCTCCCCAGTTCTCTAGCCCTTCCCAGCCACACCCCAAATCCTACTGCTACCTCTGGGACCTGGTCACCAACCCTAGAAGCATCAGTTCTTGGGTCTACCTCCATCCGTGATTAAAGCTGGTCAGAAACTCGTGTGATTGGTCTGTGCTCTGTCTCCAGGTCGGTACTGCTGCTCCTGCTTCTGTTTTTCGTACCGGGAGTGGTTATGGCGGTGGCCTACGGGCTTATCTCCCGCGAGCTCTACTTAGGGCTTCGCTTTGACGGTGACAGTGACAGCGAAAGCCAGAGCCGGGTCGGAGGCCAAGGAGGGCTGCCAGGTGGGGCCGGACAAGGTGAGTGAAATCCAGGAGGGGCGGGACTTTGAGAAGGGGCGGGGCCTATAGTGGGTGGGGCGGGGAAAAGTGTGAGCCGGAAGAGAGGCTGGAAACGGTGGAAAGGGACTCTGCCATCTGTTCTGACCTCGCATCGTCTGTGCTCAGGTCCTGCCCACCCGAACGGGCGTTGCCGGTCGGAGACCCGGTTGGCTGGTGAGGACGGAGATGGCTGTTACGTGCAGCTTCCGCGCTCCCGGCCTGTACTGGAGCTGTCTGCGCTGACCGCTTCCACGCCTGGGCCAGGATCCGGCCCCCGGCCCGCCCAGGCCAAGCTGTTGGCTAAGAAGCGCGTGGTGCGGATGTTACTGGTGATCGTTGTGCTTTTTTTCCTGTGTTGGTTGCCAGTGTACAGCGCCAATACGTGGCGCGCCTTCGATGGCCCCGGTGCACATCGTGCTCTTTCAGGTGCGCCCATCTCTTTCATCCACCTGCTGAGCTACGCCTCTGCCTGTGTCAATCCCCTTGTCTACTGCTTCATGCACCGTCGGTTTCGCCAGGCTTGCCTGGAAACGTGCGCCCGCTGCTGCCCTCGGCCTCCACGAGCGCGCCCCAGACCGCTACCGGACGAGGACCCTCCCACCCCCTCCATCGCCTCACTATCCAGACTGAGCTACACCACCATCAGCACGCTGGGACCTGGCTGAGGCAGGACAGAT